ACCTCTAATAATAGAAGCAGACCTTCGTACGGCTAAACCCCCTCCTAGCCGGTGGCCGGCCTGTGATGCCGCACAGATATTATATTTATATAAGCAGGCTAATGGCTGCAGCTGTTCTCAGCGATGACCTTGGTATTTTTGACAATAGCCACCGACAGCTGCCAGCCCCTTTTTCCCTTGGCTGCAGGCATGGGTGGAGTGGGATCGCGCTGCAAAAGAAACCATTCTGCGTTCGCCAAAATGTTGGCAAAATAGAGCCCAGGTGGCCAGGGTGATGAGCAATAAGGTAAGTATTACATCAAACTTTATAACCCCTATCAGTTTTTTTTTCTTTTTTCCATCCGTGCCCCATTGGGGAGATTTCTCTTCACTTCCTGTCCAATAGCCACAACAGGAAGTGAGAGGAAATCCCTCCAGAGTGAAGAAAATCCCTGGTCATCATCAGGGTCACCAAAACTAGTGTCTCCTCCATTCCCACTCTGGTGACAACATTTGAGATTTTCTTTAACTTTCACTCCCAGTGATAACGGCCACAGTACAAATCGAGGGGGTGAATCTCACTAACGGGGACACTGACGGCAATAAAAACCTGACAGCTGCTTTAATCTCTCTCTGCAGCAGGGGTGGGCCACTCCAGCCCTCCAGATGTTAGGGAACATGAGGCATTGCAAGGATGACAGTTACAGGCATGACTCACAGAGGCATGCTGGTAATTGTAGTTAAAGCACAGCCGGAGGGCTAGAGTTGCCCACCCCGGGTCTACACTCTATCCAAGTTTTGCTTTTAGTTCCACTTAGACATGTAAGCTGCGGAAAAATTTGGTTTGGATATTTCGTTATTTTCGGGATTCGATCCGAAATTCAATTCAGTTTGGATTCGGACGAAATCCGAATTTCATTAGTTTCGGATAAGTTAACACATATTCATTGCAAATTCCACAGAAAACCATATACAAATATTGATACTAAAGCTGAATCTCCGAGACCAGAATGGCATTCGGGATCCGAATTTCCGAATTGCATTGGGGAGCTTCTGCATGCCATTTGGGTCTGGGAGCCATATACTGTACATATATTACTAAAGCTGAAGCTCCCAGACCCGAATGTCATTCAGGAGCTCCCCAATGCAATTTGGAAATTCGGATCCTGAATGCCATTGGTCTGGGAGCCTCAGCTTTAGTAATATATGTATATGGCTCCCAGGCCCAAATGGCATTCAGGATCCGAATTTCCGAATTGCATTGGGGAGCTCCCGAATGCCATTCGGGTCTGGAAGCCTCAGCTTTAATAAAATATGTATATGGCTCCCATGTTGCCATAATGAAAATGCGTATTCAGACCCATTCGGATGCATTAAACCGAATAAAAAACACATCGGATGGCCAGAAAATCCACATGTCCGATTCAGTTTAGTTTTTTAACAAAGTTCGGACGGGATTTCAAACGTAAATTTAGATTTGGACACATTCAGATACATTGGGATTTGGAAATTCGGATGTGTCCTTATGTCTGAATTTCGGAAAATGCGTCTGAATTTTGATTCGGAAACGAAACGAATCACACATGTCTAGTTCTACTTTTTTGAGCATTTAACCCTTGCAGTGCAAGAGTCATAGGGGGGCATTGCAAGGGTGGTTTTTTTTTACATTTTTAGCTTTAACCTATTTGTATTTAAAACTAGAAAAAAAAAGCCTAAGGTGTTTAAGAATCAGTTCACAGAGGTGGAAGACACATGTCTAATTTAGATTTTTACGCATAGGCTTGTTCACTGAAGGATCACACAAAGATAAAATGTGTGTAGACTCATAGCAACCAATCAGATGGAAAAATGCTACTTTCGGGCTCTATGGGTGTACAGCAGTGTGTTTCTATGAATGAAAGACTGCAAGCAATTCTGAGTGTGTGTGGCAGGGCTGGTGTTAATACATGAGTTGATAACAATGAATACTTGTGTCCTGTAGGGCACCTCTCTGTCAGGCTTCCTTTTATAGTAACACAGCTCCGGCTCCTTGCATATAAGAGGGGCCAGAGTGACCACCCCGGCTCTGTCATTCCTGTCCTGTTCTCCTTCTCATCCCCCTAAGCTGTCCTCACTCACACATCATGGCACCCAAGAAGCCTGAACCCAAAAAGGAGGCTCCCAAGCCGGCCGCTGCACCTGCGCCTGCCGCCCCAGAGCCCCCAAAGGAGGTTGCCTTTGACCCCAAGAGTATCCAGGTGAGTACTGATGGGGGAGACGAGGGGTGATGAGGGTACCTCGGGAATCATTTCAAGGGTGTGTTTTTGGGGGCGATGGTGTGTTTAGGGTAGTTTAGTTTTAATTTGTATTTTTGTTTTCCTTTTTGTTGTGTATTTGATAGTTTTTTGTTACTTTTATTTCGCTTTGTTTTTTTCTTTTTAAGAACGAGCTAATGAGGGGCTGTTGTTTAACACAAGAACAGGTCCAGGAGAGTTTGAGGGAGCTTCTATGATCCTCAGCATTTGCGCTGGTGCATATGTGCGTTTTTTTTTGCATCGCGTATAAAGCAGCCTATTCATTTCAGTGGGCTGCCCTACGCACAACAATCGCACCGAAGAAGTCCCTGCACCTTGTTTGCAAAAGGCCACACCAAAACACACTGGAGCGGCTGTGCACAATACCCAATCAGCTTCTCTCTTCAGCTTGTTCAGTTAAGTTTTAAAAATAGAAAGCTAGAAGCTGATTGGTTGCCATGCACAGCTTCTCCAGATTCTGTCTGCGCCAGTCTTCCCCTCGTGGCACTTTGTTACCATGCATTTTGGTTAGATTTTGCACACGTGAAAGTGCCTGCACAGTGCAGGAAGGTGCCTTTAATAATGAATGGCGTCGTGACACGCATTTTGTCATGCTGAGGCAATGTGTGCAAAAATGCGCATCTTTGCGCACAGATATAAATGGGGACCTAAAATCCATCAAATACGAAAGAAAACACCTTAATTTATTACAGGTATTTATATAGCATTGACAATTCATGTAGCGTTGTACATAGTGCAGATTCATATCAGTCCTGACGCCGAGGATCAATCTAAGGTCCCTGTCTCACATGCACACATACATTCACACACACGGGCCAATTAAGACATTTAGACAGGAGCCAATTAACGTACCAGCATGTCTTTGGAGTGTGGTAGGAAATCGGAGTACCCGGAGGAAACCCCACACAAGTACAGGGAGAACATGCAATCTCCTTGCAGATAGTGTCCTGGCTGGGAATGATACTGAGGTCCCCAGTGCTGCAAGGCAGAAGTGGCAAAGTTATGCTAAAATCTGAAACCAGTTTTGAATAATTTTTAGGGGAAATTGTGAGATATATCTCCAGTTTTAACACCAACATTTTGTTTTCTATAGATTCAGTTCCATTCATCTATTAAGGTTACTGGGAGCTGATAGTTACCAACATATTAAAGAAATATAGGGACTTTTTGCTGCTTTTGGCACACAAATCACTATCAGAGGACCAAATAATAAGGCTGCACACAAGTAATGTTTAGAGATTAATCATGCTACTAATATCACTGATTTGGGACCAATCACAAAACATAGGTTACAGAGGAGTGCAGACAATAGAAGTGACTGCTAATGATCTCAAATTTGTGCAACCAAATGCTACTACATATATAGCAATCGCTGGTGATTAATCACAGGAAGCACAATACCAATACCAAAACTTGGTATTGGTCATATAGGTAGGTGTGATGGTCTAGTTTCCACATACTTTTGGTTATATACTGTAGGTAGGTGTGATGGTCTAGTTTCCACATACTTTTGGTTATATACTGTAGGTAGGTGTGATGTTCAGGTTTCAAAATTCTTTTGGTCATATAGGTAGGTGTAATGGTCAGGTTTCCCCATACTTTTGGTCATATAGGTAGGTGTGATGGTCTGGTTTCCACATACTTTTGGTCATTTAGGTAGGTGTGATGGTCAGGTTTTTCACATACTTTTGGTCATATAGGTAGGTGTAATGGCCAGGTTTCCCCATACTTTTGGTCATATAGATAGGTGTAATGGCCAGGTTTCCCCATACTTTTGGTCATTTAGGTAGGTGTGATGGTCAGGTTTACCCATACTTCTGGTCATATAGGTAGGTGTGATGGTCTGGTTTTCACATACTTTTGGTTATACAGGTAGGTGTGATGATCAGGTTTCCCCATACTTTTTGTCATATAGGTAGATGTATGGTCAGATATCCCCATACATTTTGGCCATATAGCTAGGTAGGTAATCAGTAGGTGAAAATCTCCCCTTTAAAGGTCTGACTGGGTTTCATACGCAGATTAGCAAATTTGTGTCCATTCCTTAGACTATTTCAGAAAGGAAAACATTTGAAACCTTGACACCGAATTGGGTTTATACACCAACGGCACAATAATACACTATAAATTCTCCGAGCAGACGGGCCAGCGATGTTCTAACCCATGTAAGAGATAGGATGAAAGGATGATAGGATGGTGTCCTATCACACAGAACCATTTAATAACACTCAGAGAAACATTATGTCGGCATGAAGAACATTTGTCCGTCATACAGAATTCTGTCAACACCTCATGGTGCACAACATACAATTCCATCCATATCTAGAAAACAAAGTGGACCTGTCATTAGAAGAACGAAGGAGCTGCTGTTGTTAACCATCCACCTAATAAATCAGTAGCCTGGCTGTAATGCTGACCCATGGATACGGTTGGTAGCTTAAAGCACTAAAGCACATGGATCAGCATGACACCCACTTGCATTGTCACAGTGAGATGTGGGCAATGGCAGCCTCCATGGTTTCCTTTAAAGACAGACACCACCCCAAACTATTAATTTAGCTTTGCAAAGTGATAAGTATTCCTGCAGGACTCGTGTGAAGCTTTAGCCACATTAAAGCCCAACCCAACTTTTTATTTTGCTTTGGCAGGGAAGGGTCAGAGCCTCTGTTGGGTTTTAATTTCTCTCTATGCTCTGTTGGTGAGATTTCCCTTCACTTCCTATCAGGACAGGATGTGATTGGAAATCTATACAATGGGGAAACATTGCATAGCTTTCCTATCACATTTAAGTAGAGTGAACAAGAGTTAGAACCTCCGACAATGATTTCATTGCTGTCCATGACTCTTTGTCCTAGGGACAACCACTCCATCCAAATTTCTTGAAGGGTTGATGTCAGTCTGGAGGAATGGGTGTTACTAAGCAGGCAGTACTTGCATGCAGACCACCTTAGGTAATTCCCAACATGAAGCTGATTCTCCATGAAAAAACTGATGTCTACTGAATAAAAAGGGCGGATCAGGCACAGTCAGGTTTGGGAGTGCGAGCTAGATCATACTGGGCATCCACCAGCCATCAAATGAGACGGCTCTATCTGACTTGCTGCAGCTTCTAAGGCACATTGTGGGAAGCTCTCAGTGTGCAGTGAAATCAGAATAAGTCATTTCAATCCAGGAGAGAAGCCGGCAGGGCCGGATTTACTCTCTCTACTGCCCCAAGGCCAGGTTCCTCAATGCGCCCTCCTACCCGCCAAACCCCCCCCATGGAGAATGGCAGACCTGCAGGCTGCATACAAGTGATCTTGGCAAAATCACTGAGATCACTTGTACAAAACAAGCGGCTGCTTCCCCACTGTACATTTTGTTCTGCTTGCCCAAAGCAGGGCTAAATGTAGAAAGCAACTACCCGTCCAGCGCCCGGAACTGCATGTCCCGGGCATTGGGAGATAGGAATTCCACATCCCTGCTGCCCCTCTACTCCCTGCTGCCCCAAGGCCAGGCCTTGGGCGAAAACCGACCCTGGGAGCCGGTACAACTGGGCAAGACTGAAGGGAAGGCTGGAGTTCAGATATAAGTCTGAAGGGAAGGACGGAGCTCAGATATAAGACTGAAGGGAAGGACGGAGCTCAGATATAAGACTGAAGGGAAGGACGGAGCTCAGATAGAAGACTGAAGGGAAGGACGGAGCTCAGATAGAAGACTAAGGGGGAGGACGGAGCTCAGATAGAAGACTGAAGGGAAGACCGGAGTTCAGCTTTAAACATTTAGGTGTCTAAATCCTCAGAGCAGGAAAACTATGAGCCCTCGCTTTATCTTTCCGTCATGCATTCTTTTACACTGATCTCACAATCCGATATGCCTGTCATAGGCTGGTGACTACATGCACAGAATTAGTGTCCCCAATGATGGGATCATGAAGATTAGAGAAGTAGGAACATATACATGAGAGGCCAGACCCGGGGCATATATAGACATAGTGGAATGTGTCACTGAGGACGGAGCTCAGATATAAGACTGAAGGGAAGGACGGAGCTCAGATAGAAGACTAAGGGGGAGGACGGAGCTCAGATAGAAGACTGAAGGGAAGACCGGAGTTCAGCTTTAAACATTTAGGTGTCTAAATCCTCAGAGCAGGAAAACTATGAGCCCTCGCTTTATCTTTCCGTCATGCATTCTTTTACACTGATCTCACAATCCGATATGCCTGTCATAGGCTGGTGACTACATGCACAGAATTAGTGTCCCCAATGATGGGATCATGAAGATTAGAGAAGTAGGAACATATACATGAGAGGCCAGACCCGGGGCATATATAGACATAGTGGAATGTGTCACTGACGGGTAAATTCCTGGCTTATCAAGAAACACTCGCTTACTATATATAACATTTGTCTGGTCGAACTTTGCCACTTATGTGGAGGGTGCTGATGTGACAGATTTATCTATGGATGTGTCTTCATTTTACTGAGCTTTGATAAGTATCAATAGGAGAAAATGAAGAAATAAAATAAGTAGGGATTTTCCTAATTCCAATATTAATGCATCAATTACTGAAACCTATTCCTATGTAAGGGCTCATTCACACCAGTAGGAGCACATAATGCGCACGTGCACGCTCTGGTGTAAATTGCCCATGCACGCTGCTTAGCTATTTTCTATGTTAAAACACAGTGCAGTCCTTTTTTATCTTCTATTTAATTTGTGGCAATGGCGATGTGTTACAGAGCATCGGAACAAACTGTGCAAAAAAATCAACATTTATTTTTTTCAGCACACACCAACACAGCATATTGGTTTGAACTAAAGCAATGGCGCGCAAGGCAAATTGCAATCAGCCTCCATGTTTCCTCTAGGACAGGACTGAAATCCAGGCGTTATGTCTGTTAGATGTGTATATTTGGTGAAGCTCCAGTCTTCTGATGGTCTACCTGTTTTCAGTAACCCTTATAGCAGCATGTGTTCGAATGGGAAATGCAGCATTTGACATAACAAGAATAGGCTGCATTTGACCTGCTTTGTCTGCCGTTAAAATTCATCTTAATGGGACTTGTTGCATCCAAAAATGCAAATCACGTCAAATGCAGCCTCTGACCTGCCATATGTACTACTCAAGTCTATGGTAGGGCTAGGCAACCTGAGCACTTCAGCGTTGGTGAAACTACAAATCCTATAATGCCTTTACCTGTGTCTGTCAGGAGTCTTGCAAAGCCTTATGGGACTTGTAGTTTCACAACAGCTGGACTGCCAAGGTTGCCTACCCCTGGTCTATGGGGTTTTGCTGGCCTGCTTTTGACACGTGTCATATAAATAACATCCATTGACATCAGTCTTTAGTTTGGTGCAGTCCTGGAAATGCTTAGCCCAAAAGAGCTTAGCACACTATAGTCAAGAAAGATATTACAGTGAGGGAAGACCATTCACACAGAAAGTGCTTACTCGCTAACACATCATCACATAACCAATTATCTAGTCAGCGTGCCCTAATCCTGCCGCTGACTGATGCCAATTACTCTGCCAGAAAGACAGGATCTATTAGCACTGCGCCAAAGTGGAAAATTCTTTGTAAACCATTGCTTTAGACTTAGCCTGGAAGAAGCACGCGGGAAAGGCAATTAACTCAAGTGTTTATAAGTATATGTAAACCCTAACAATGAACTTCTCTTATTTAATGTCTTTGGTTCTGTTCAATATACCATTGGAAGTGTTTTATTATATCTTCTCCCTTGTCAGAAATTCCAATCTGACCCATGTCCTCTGCATTCTTCTCCACAAGCTATTTAGCCCTCCTACTTCTTACATTGGACTACAGATTGATTCAGCCTTTATGTCGTGACAATTTGAAATTAGATGTGGTTAAGTCATTCACCAAAGACACTGAGCAGGGCCAAAAAAAGGAAAAAGGTTATTGCAGCCAATGTTCCATAGGAATTGGAAACAAATACACCAGATCTTAGCAGCAAAAAAAAAAATTTCAAAAACATATTGATTTGGTATAATATTGTCTTCTGAGCTCTTCATCTAATGCAATCAATTAACAGTCAATGCTTTCTTTTATCTGCAGATTGAATACACCGCTGACCAGATTGAAGGTAAGTCATTTTTGCATTTGAGTCATCATTTGCCACAATTTGCAACTGTACCCTTCGGCATCCTTCTGATATATATTCTTAAAACTCATTACCCATGTTATAACAATTTAGGAGGTTCTCCGTTGTATAAAATTAGATAACAGGGGCAATGGGGCCCCTTTTTAACCGCAACGGCCGGTGTGTAATAATATTAGGATAAATATTTCAGTCACAAGCAAGTAGTGAACCCAAACCAGCAGCTCCCTGTTTAGCCTCCATATTGTCTCATAATAGTAACCCTATGAGGAAGGCCAATATCTTTGGGGGGTGGGGGGCATTTAACTCTATATGCATAGAGGTGCATTTGTAGCATTAGGCAGGTGCATTGTCCTGCATCAACACAGGTTTCCTTTGTGCATTGACAGGCGGTATTGATGCACTTTGTATGGTTGTTTTTGAATTTAGGATTGGAGTAAATAGCACCCTTGGTGGAGACTACCAGCTGCCATTCCAACGCGCATTGCACGGGCCACCATCAGAAAGCCGGTCCGGAGCAATGGCGTGCATTTGGCTGTGGAGCAAGTGCATAGATTGAGGAAGTGACTGAATGAAGCTTGAGGAAATCAGCAGCACTGATATGCCACAAAGGATAAAAAAATGAAAACAAGATTATTATTTTTTTTACCATTGTAAAGTGTTTATAACATATGGTGCTTTAGAAAACTAACGTCCTCCAGTTAGACCTTAGATCTGCTTTAATTTTGGATACTCAACACACTGCATAGTGGCAAGAATAATTACACAGCCACGAAAGACAAATCTCCAGCATTGTCTGGGGATTATGGGACTAATGAAGAGTCTGGAATGAAGAGAATGCCCCATGGACTGTGGGTGGAACAGTGGAATAATAATATCGCATGTACAATCACAGTAATTGGATACTATAGAGTCTAATTGATGCAGTAAGCGATACCTCCCAGCTGTCTAGTATATTCCATTGAGGTCATGGTGTTGAGATAATGGCACTTGTTTTCCTAGAGTACAGTCCTTGGTAGAGCTGAAACCAGGGATCGACAAAACCCAGGAACCAGGTAGCCAATTCTCCTTAATTATAGATGGCACCTAACATTTGAGGTTTTCTCTAGTTATTGTAAAAGGAGTTGACTCCTAAGAAAAATTCTGCTGGCTCCTGGATTGGACAGACTAGCTCCTGAATTCCATTTTCATTTGTCCTTCCCTGACCCACACTATTTATTGAAGTGAATCTGTTCTTTAAAGAGAGTGGGGGTAAAATGCCAGGCTCTTGAAGCCTACTGTTCACATGGACTATTCATATGCTTACATGGACCATTCATATGCTGGAGCCTGGAGATGATGTAGGGCTAAATTCTGTGAAAGCTCCATGTTGGACAGTGTCAGGGCACAAGGTTAATGGTGTGCATCCTGGGAAAAAGGAAAGAAGGTCACATGCTCCCCGATACTCAGAAGCACCGGCTCTGCAATGGCTCTGACAGACAAATCCAACAGCAGGGAGAGCAGTGATGTTGAGTATGGATGGGGGAAAGGGGGTAAAGGAGCTTTTAAGAAAACCCATCCCTTTGCCCTGAATGGGCAAAATAAAAGATGCTCTTGCAAAAAGTATGGCAGCCTCTTGGAAGCAGGAACCATAAAGCTGTCTTGTTCTACTAGGTCCATATTTCCCCACTGTCCAATCCACTGTTTCAGCACTCTTAAAATTGAGCACATGTAGATAATGGGAACAAAATTCACTTCTCTCCCCAACTGCCTCCCCCAACACAAAAAAAAATTAAGAGTACCTGTCCCTTTGCCCTGAATGGGAAAAATGAAAGATCCTCTTTTAAAGGGTATGGACGCATCTTGGAAGCAAGAACCATAAAGGTGCCTTGTTTTACTAGGCCCACATTTCCCCACTGTCTAATCCACTGTTTCAGTCCTCTGAAAACCGGACACTTCTAGATATGGGCAACTTAAGACACCCCCCTCCCTAGCTGCCCCCAATAACTCAGCTGCTGGTCCCCAGGCCCAAGTTTGATTACATGTGGAAGGGAACAGCTTGCTTAGATCCATGGACGTTCTAGGGGCTCTAGTGGCCGAGGAGCATGGAAAAGATTACTACTACCTACGGTCACCCTTCAATATAAAACTGCACTTGTTATAAGATATACTACTGGTGGTTATACTTTTCACTCTCTCTGTTTCCAGAATTCAAGGAGGCCTTTCAGCTGTTTGATCGTACCCCCGGAGGAGAGCTGAAGATCACCTATGGACAATGTGGAGATGTATTAAGGGCTTTGGGACAGAATCCCACCAACGCAGAGGTGTTGAGGGTCCTAGGAAGACCCAAAGCAGAAGGTGAGAGTGTCATTTTCTGTGGATGCATGTGGTTGTCAGAGAAAAACTTCCACGATTTAGATTAACAATCTGGTGTGGATGAATAAAGAGTAATAAACAACCTTAAATACTTATGTTTCCTGGAGAAAAGGCTTCCTGGGCTTCCTCCAGTGATGGTTACTTGGTCACTGATCTAGGCAGTGATGTCACACTAAAAGAAGCCGGCAGAAGTTTAGCATATAGGTTCAACTAGGCTTACCAAACATGAAAGCATTGCAGTGACTCCTTTCAGAGCTCCTGAACCGGCTGTATTCAAGCTAATAGCAGCTTACCCTGGTTTAGATATGGCCCTGGGCATGGTGGCCGCCTGGACCAGTGAGCCCAAAGAAGCTTCCCCTTGTGCCCATAAGATTAAATTAAACTTGTTGCAACAGAAATATGACCACTTTGCAATGCTGGCCACGTGGCTGTTATCCTGATACTCTGACCTGGAACAAATATGCAGATCAGAAAAGTAAGAAGTCCTAAACTTCATACTTTTTCTGGATTACTTACCCAAGGTATTGAAACCAGAGGGCAGCAAGATCGCCACAATCCTTAACAAACATTAAAACTTCCCTTTACTAAATTCATACCATCTGTAGTTGAATGCCAAACGTTTGGTTGGTTACTGCACTTTATACTTACTGCTTTGTTCCTTGCTTGCAGCCCAAAAAGTGTCACTGTTGCCCATAGCATCTGGACCCCAGATGTCATGTTTCCATTGCAGTCTGGAAAATGGAAACTACTAAAATGGATGCTACGGGCAGCAATCTGCGTACAGTGACTAGGGCTGAATTGTGAACAGGCAGCACTGGCCTGTGTAATGCCAACATTACCCTCTTTCAATGGCATTTGAATAAAGGTTTACGCAAACAGAAGGCCATGTGTCGGAATTAAGCTTTATACATCACAGCCACTGAATGGTTCACGAGGAAAGGCACAAGACAATCTACCATATAAATAGTATTGCCTAAGTAAAATGATATGCAAGTCCCGAGGATTTCTGGCTCAATTTGGCATACCTTCCATGTTGGACAAACACTCAGCCATGCCCACCTGGCATTAGAACTCTTTCTATTTCAGCTGCCGTTAAGCCCCCTTGAGGTCCAAGTAGAGATGGAAGGATGGGCAGTGGGCGCAAAGCCTAGAGGACTCAAAGGATTGTGGGTATTTCACCCAATCTATTTGTGGGGGTCTGATCACTGATATACTCAGAGGAATTAAATTCCCAGTATTAAGAGCACATACAAGGCCCATACCATGAAGAGCATCACATTCCCAATGTGGACCCAGGGGAGGGCAAGTGACATTTCAGTAAGCTGTGGTATGTCTGCTATTATCCATGAATGCAGTCAAGGCCAGGACACAAAAAATCTTAGGAGCCGAGGCCACAAATGGTCACATGTATGACTTTAGATTTAGTGACTTAATACCGAAAGTCTGCCAGTTGTCTTGCTCTAGATCCCAGTCAGATATACAATACTCTAAAGGATTTTCAGAATACAATACTGCTTAAATCATAGCACATTAAAGGAATGCATCAATCTGTTGTGGCAAAGACTACAGCAGACATGACAGCTATCTTAAAGGAACACAGAGAAACACAGAGGCAGCTCTTGCTGACTTATCCTTCTGGAAATGCAAGTTGCCAAGCGGTCATGCCAACCATTTTTTTTATTTTAAGTCACTCACCTTGAAAAGGATCTTTATAATTGATCAAGATCAATGCCTCTGAAAAAATTAGGTCCAGTGAGTCAGTATGAGCAGCCAGTCACGTGCCCCTTTTAGGGAGATTTCCCCTTATGTCCTGTCCTGGTAAACAAAAGAGGAAGTGAGGAGCTCTGCCTATTGGAATAACAAAAACGCCATGGAAAAATCACAAAGAAAAGATTAAGAATCCACTGGTGATTTAACCTACCATGTACCCATCACCAAAATATCAGTGTTAGGTGGCCTATCTCTTGGTTTCATTTATGAATATTGATAGCTAGGAGGTACTATTGATTAGTAGCAAGTTAACCTTGGACTTCTGTTCCTGCATTTCAGAATTAAATACCAAACTCTTGGACTTTGAGACCTTTCTTCCAATGCTCCAGCACATCTCCAAAAGTAAGGACCAGGGCTCTTTTGAGGACTTTGTAGAAGGACTTCGTGTCTTTGACAAAGAGAGCAACGGCACTGTAATGGGAGCAGAACTGCGTCACGTTTTGGCCACTTTGGGTGAGTCACAGCATCTTGTCTCTTCATGATGAAATGAGGGAAAACATAATGGCCGATAAGAGTCATGTCAATGTATGCTCACTTGATGCAACACTTTTCAATTCTTCAGTAAGCGCCAAGTTTTTTTTAATCTCTGTCCCACTTAGGTGAGAAGCTACAAGAAAGTGAAGTGGAACAGCTTCTTGGGGGGCAAGAAGATGCCAACGGATGCATCAACTATGAAGGTAAACCATCTGATATAGGCCTACCACTGCTCCTAGCTGAAAACTAAGGCTAAGAGTCAGAGGTTGAGAGGTCACTTGCTGCACCATCAACTGCCGGACATCAAGATGATAATACACACTGTAACAGCATTCAATAGTTCCCAAGGTTGTTTAGATTTCTCTTAAAGTGACTCTTTTTCTAGAACAAAAGTCAAAAAGTCTACTGATAGGTCCAAGTGCCAGATCTAGTGAAAGGTCCAACACTTCATGATAGCATCGAAGCTTGCCTATTCCTGCTTCTTGCACATTCTGATTGGCCAATGAGGCAGTCCATCATATTGGTGAGCCAGTATCTCTTTAACTGCAGAGCTCTTTTATTTGATATTGTCTCATGAACGCTCAGGAGCTGGGAGGCAAGAAGTGTTATCTGCAGGAGGTCGGGCAGTTGACATGGTAATGACTGTCAGACCTCATGTGACTTCTCACTGCTGACTCTCATCTTAAAAGTCAGCCACAAGCACTCTAAGTTAAACTAAATAACGTTCAGCCTTTATAGTTATAATTAATTTGGACTAAATATTTAATTCCTGCAGCCCTGTTGTACAGTAGATGATTCTCTATAAAACAGTCTAGCAAATACAAGTGATACATTGATCTCACATGAATTCTTATTTTCTCCTAGCTTTCATTAAGCACATCATGTCTGGATGAAGATACAATGCGGTATGTGTTTCTGAAGGCACTATTTTTTTGTACTTGGTGTGACGTTCCTTACTACTAACACAGTGTGTAAACCCCGGCACATCTGATGATGTCCATTCCAAACCCAATGGGAGATTTCCAGGGATAAGCCACCTTCTGGCCTCAGTAACAGACTATGGATATAACCAAGCCATTTATGGTACCTATATGATTAAAATCATTTTTTGTTTTGGATAGAAGGATAGACCTTCAGATTTTCATTGCTGTCTGGGTTCGCATTGGAGAGTTTCACCCTCTTGCCTTGTCCTGGTGACCATTGTCACCGAGATAAAGAGTAATGAAAAATGTACAATTTTAGAGTTGTCATCAGAACAAGGAATGAGGGAAAATCCTTCAACGAGGACACTTGTTCCTGTGACAAATCTATAAGATGGGAATTCCATGCACCTTAGAGAGATCTCATTTCCTGTTGCGTCTTCAGGACCATGAAAGAAGGGAAACCTCTTCAGCGAGACACAAGGATAACCTGATAGGACGGCACTTTAGTTTTTTCTTCTTTTTTTTTGCAGTAGAGGAAGGATCATTCCCATTCGGTAGGGAGATTTTCCATCACTGTAGAAAATGTCCTTTGTGATAAGAAGTGCATGTGAAATTCAGACACTCCGACTCACTCTGATGGTCACATACTAGATCTTGAACTAGAACCTCTCCCACACCCCTTTCCCGCTCTCAGACCACAACCTTGTCAGTTTCACACTCACCCTATCCCCAACCCTGAATCCCCCTACACGGCACACTGTCACCCGGAGAAACCTTCACCACCTCGACCCTTCTCTTCTCTACTCTGCTACTGACTACCTCTATGACAAAATCTCACCCCTATCCTGCCCTGTCCTGGCTACTTCTGTCTACAACAGTTCACTTTCGTCCTCTCTAGACACCTTGGCTCCCCTCACTACTCGCAGACTTAGACCACGTATGCTACAACCGTGGCAAACAAATGAAACTAAAAATCTCAAGAGACATAGCCGCACTCTTGAACGACTGTGGCGAAAAACTAGATCTCTGCAAGACTTCACCTTGTAATTCTTCTCTTTCCAGTGTCTGCAACCCCCCTCTGCCAATCCCTGCACTGGCTTCTAATAGCCCAAAGAATAACATTCAAAATATTAACAATCAGTTACAAAGCAGTCCACAACTCCGCCCCCCGCTATATCTCAAACATTGTCGGCTCCGCTCATCCCAAGACCTCCGGCTTTCCAGCTCCCTTGTCAACTCCTCCCATGCTCGCCTCCAGGACTTCTCTAGAGTCTCTCCCATCCTCTGGAATTCTTTACCCCAACCTGTCCGTCTGTCGCCCACCTTGACTGCCTTTAGGGAAGCCTATCCCACCTCAACCTAACCGTTCAACCATCACGTTCTCAAACAACTCATCCCCACACAGATCCCTCCTCATGTATCACTTCCCCCAGTGTACTATAGAGTGTACTATAGTGTACTATAGAGATATAAACATCTGTAGGTTACACTAGGTTCCCATTAGTGTACCATAGAGTTATACATTTCTGTAGAATAAATTAGGTTCCCACCAGGGTACTATTGAGTTATAAACATCTATAGAATAATTAGGTTCCCATCAGGGTACTATAGGCTTATAAACATCTGTAGGGTACACTAGGTTCCCACCAGTGTACCATAGAGTTATAAACATCTGTAGAATAAATTAGGTCCCCACCAGGGTACTATAGGGTTATAAACATCTGTAGGGTACACTAGGTGCCTGCCAGTGTAGTATAGCGTTGTAAACATCTGTAGGGTACACTAGGTTCCCACCAGTGTACCATAGAGTTATAAACACCTGTAGAATAAATGAGGTTCCCTCCAGTGTACTATAGAGTTATAAGCATCCGTAGGGTACACTAGGATCCCATCAGTGTACCATAGAGTTATAAAAAATCTGTAGAATAAATTAGGTTCCCACCAGGGTACTATAGAGTTATAAAAATCTGTAGAATAAATTAGGTTCCCACCAGGATACTATAGAGTTATACACGTCTGTAGGTTCCCACCAGTGTAGCATAGAGTTATAAGCATATGTCAAATTCATTAGGTTCCCGCCAGTCTAGCATAGAGTTCTGAACATCTCTAGGATCTCTATGGTACATTACCACCAATGTACAATAGAGTTATAAACACCTGTAGGGTCTATAGGTTCCCACCAGTATCAGATTCTCAGCATCCACTGAAATTGCTTTCTAGAGTAAACATTAAATACACATAAAAGATTATCCAAAGGGTAATTGTTCAAACATATTCCAACAAAATAAAAAAATGTCTTTGTTTTGTAGGTGTCTGCCAATTATCCCACAGTCCCAACTGTCCTACTGACCCTTCTAAGAAGAGCCAGAAGATGCATCACCCGAGCTGTCTGTAACATACCTCTCCGATGTAGAAGTCCTTGTAGAGAATCTCTTCCTTTGTTAAATGTCATATGAGATTGTAAATTTATTTGGGACTTTTTTCCTCCAGTGGTGGCTTTTCACCAAATAAATTTCACAGGAAAACAAATCTGTTTCATCTAATTCATTATTTTTATAATAGTGCATGTCAAAGATTGAAGGTGTGCATGTACCAAGAGCATTTGCTGGGGCAGCCTAGTAAAGGTGCCCATACACCTTACAATTTATCTGCAGATTTTCTGTGGTCAGATGGAAAAAGTGCAACAGATTGGCCCAGGTGGAGATTACTCCATCCACACAGTTAAGTGTAGGTGGACGAATCTGTTGCACTTTTTCCATCTGACAGCAGAAAATCTGCAGATAATTGTAAGTTGTATGGCCAGCTTGAGAGTGCAAGGTCTTTTGAAGGGCAGTTCCAGGAAACAGGTGAAAGTAATAGTTCATCTGCTAATGCTAATGCTATGAAGAAACCACCACGGCTGTGCTGGCACTTTTTCTAGTTCTCTGTAACCCACCACACTCAGGTTGCACCATGGACAACAGGCCCAATAGGAAGGCAGTAGGACTGTACTTTCTGTCCCCTGTGCTATGTATGAATTCTACACCCCCAATCACATTCAAACGTCAAAAACAGGTATAAATCTGATTGGTGGCTGTGAGAGACTTCATGGGAAATGACTGTGTAACTTAAGAGACTGAAAACCAAATACAATTACAGAGCATTTTCTGTTCAATGCTCTGCGTTTGCTCAGTTTACCTTAAGGAAGAACTCCAGGATTTATTAAAATTACCCCTTGCAGTGGGGCTACCCCTGCACTGCAAGGGTTAAGTGGTAATTTTGGTCTAGGGGGGTATATAAAGAGGATATACTCACCCGATCCTTGGTCATAAAGCAGCGACCGCTCACCTCCAGGGCCAGATTTACTCTCTCTGCTGACCCAGGGCCAGGTTCCTCAATGTGCCCCCCTCTCCGCCAAACCCCCCTAATGGAGAATGGCAAGCAGATGGCGGGGGCAGCAGGGTTAGATTTACATTTTTTTTTTCCTTTTTTAATCACTTTCTTATTTTATTTTTTTTTATACTTTTTTCCTTTTTAACATTTTTAGTTATCTTATCATCTTTTACTTTTTTATTTTTTTTATAATTTTTGAATCTTATTTTTTACTTTTTTATAATTTTTGAATCTTATTATTTTTTATAATTTTTTTGTTATAATTTTTACTTTTTAATCACCTTTTTATTTTTTTTATTGCAAGCTGCATACAAGTGATCTCGGTGACATCGTTGAGATCACTTGCAAATGAAAGATCAGCTTCCCCGCTCTACATTTAGCAATGCTTGCCCAAATCAGGGCTAAATGCAGAAAACCACTACCCGCCGGGCGCCCGGAACTGCATGTCCCAGTTGTCGGGAGATTCCACACCCCTGCCGCCCTGAGGCCGGACCTCGGTGGCCTTGTGGGAAATCCAGCCTTGCTCACACCTTCTGCTCTGTCTGTGGTACATCCCTTGACATCCTCACATCTAATGGACCTGTATTAGAGTTGATGATGTCATGGGTCCTTAGACCGCCAAAGACTAGGGGAGAAGAGGCTGTGGGCCAGGCTGAACAAAGGTTTGGGTGAATATATCTTCTTTATTTTTGTCCCTAGACCTAAACAAGCACTTAACCCTTTTAGTGTGGTGGCAGCCCTACTGCAAGGATTAATTTGAATAAATCCTGGAATTCCTCTTTCATAAGAGTTCTTTGGGATCCACAGCAGCTAGAATTCAAAAAACACCTTACAGGGTCCCTGGGAGTGTACATCCTGAAGCCTGTGCTGTGTGACCTACACAGCTAGAATCCAGAGGGCACCTTAGAGGGTCCCTGGGAGTGTACATCCTGAAGCCTGTGCTGTGTGACCTTCTCCCTCTCTGCAACCTGTATTACTAATCACATTCAAACATTCAGTGCAGGTGACAGTGAGGACATCTTAGTACCGGCTTTTTTTTTTACCATGAGCACTTCTGTATACAAGAAAAAATAGTAGGAAGCCTCCAGGGGCAGGGGATGATTGGGAACCATTGGCCTGGGGCAAACTATAATCAAATGGCCCTTTCATGGTAGAGGTTTCTTATATTATTTCTTATGTCCCCCATCACAGTCCTCCCCTGTGAAAGTCCTCCCCTGTGAAAGGAGAGGCAGGCAGTTCAGGGAAGTAGAGCTGAGAGAGTTGGAGCTGTCCAGAAACATGATGACTGTAAGTGTTTGAGCAAAAATGTAAACAGAATCTGTGCTGGGCAATGTATATTTGTTTGATCTGGATTAAATAATGTAAAAAGTTTGAGTGTTCAATACTACTTTACCACCAACCCAGACAGCGATAAAAAGCAGCCATTGGTTTTCACCATGCTCTCAACTGACCCAAATCATTTGGATGAGAGCTAAACCTTCAGAATTCATTATTGATGGAGATTTCTAGAAGAATTCATGGCGTCCTCCTCCCTTTAGAATGAGAACTGAATTTATTCAGTAGTTGACTGAAGCGTTGAATATTCACATTCGTGATCAGGAGACGGGTGAGGTCCATGTCTGGTCTGCACGGTGTGGCTACACTCAGGGACATCATCAGGGCCCCCATGGACCCGGTAAAAATAACCTTCCACTGCGCCAGCGTACGGAAGAGCATCTCCTCTTGTTGAGATAAGAAAAGCATTCGTACCAAAGATGGTCTGGTGTCTGGATCGTCCTCTCGTCACTTCTGATAACTGCACCGCTCCAAGATTAAGCCCCTTACCCAGGGGAGAGGTACAAAGGACATTATCACACGGCTGGATAATTTTAGCAGGGGGTTCTGTTCCACTAGACAGTCTTTAAAGAACTCCGGGCAAATAAAACCTTAACCATTGCAGTGGGGCTACCCCTGTACTGTAAGGGTTAAGTGCTTGTTTGGTCTAGGGAGCTAAAATAACAAAGTTATACTCACCTGAACCACGATCCTGCTAAACCACCCCGTTCAGACTCTTTGCCCCTCCGCTCTGGCGGTCTAAGGTCCTGTGGGCCATCGCATCCAATACAGTGTATAGGATGTGGGGATGCCGAGGGACATTCCATTGCTGGAGAGGAGGGTGTAGGAAGGGAGTGCTGAATGGAGCCAGCCGGGGGTTGCAGTTCAGTATGCCTCTGTTTATTTAGCTCCTCAGACAAAAAGAGCACTTAACCCTTGCAATTCGGGGGTAGTCCCACTGCAAGGGTTAAGATTTGATTTGCCCAAAGTTTTTCTTTAAAGGAAAACTCTAGACAGATATGAAAGACGCAAATGAACGCAGTTTGGTATTCATTAACCCTACATTAAATGTATACAGTGTAAGTACCTGAATGTGACCTGCTATCAGTCTCTTCCAAATCTTGTACAGCAGAGATGTGAGAAGAAGAAGCAGCACAAGGAGCCAATCAGTTCATGTGCTGACAAAAGAATGCTGATAGAGAGTAGAAAGCATAGTGACAGAGATGAGCTATACTGCTCCTCCTTACACTGTCCAGTCACAGGCTGGGGACTGGTCCAGGACAACCTGGGCTCCGAGGAAGCAGGTTGATGTTGGCCATCAGACTCGGGACATCTACTGGCAAAGAAAAGTACGGCGGAGGAAATATCTCCATTGAAGATGAAGATTGCAGCAAAAGCTGTTTTTTAATTTTATCTTTTAGTGGAGTATTCATTTTTATTTTGTTATTTGTGGCTGGAGGTCTACTTTAACCCTAGCACTACGGTATGATAAATCTATTGCTTTTATCTTCACAAGAACCTTCATTCTACATACTATTAGATATGAGAACATATGAAAGGGACAAGTGTAAAGAAGCCCTGCAGTCCCACAAAGTCCCATATGTCCTCCCACCTTCCCCTGCAGTAATCAAAATTTCTTTTATAATCAACACATGGCCTGCCAATGGCCAGACGGTGCTTCACCATTCCAGGACATGGAGTCACTCCTCTACTGCGTACGTGCCAACTCCCTGCCGTGGCGGATTGATTTAAACAGCCAATATAACGATTCAACCCCCCATTACAAATCAGGTTTATCAGCAAAATTTACAGACTTCCAGCTGTTTGCAATGAACAAATCAAACAAAAGAAATTAAAATAGGTCACCACAACAAATTTTTCACGCGGTTTCCCCAAATACAACTGGAAATGCAACTTTTAATGACTTTTGCAGTCTCAAGCTGCCCATACACCTTACAACTATCGCATGACTTTCGTTGTGCGATGGTTGTAAGGTCATTAAAATTTTGTACGACCTGCCCATCTTGGACCGGCAGATCGTACTAGCGATCATCGCAAGCCTGCCCCGCTGAGGGGAGGGCTTGCCGATGATTGCAATGCTGAACGGGCAGTGTGCGCTTGCGCACACCGGCCCACGCGGCTTTCGTCTTCCGAGCACGCTACCAACCAGCCAAAAATCGTACGATTTTCGGCGAATTTTCCAGCGTGCTAGGAAGACGAAAGTCGTACGACCTTACAGTAGAAGAGGTCGCACGCTGCCCATACACCATACGATCGCGGGATCACCCGGGTTTATCGGCAGGTGTATGGGCACCTTTAACCCCCTGAATAGAATCCCTCACAAGAGCACACATCTGCAGAACAGGTGATGTAACATGCACACCTGATGCAAGTAATCAAGGGCTCCATTAGCTACACCAGGTGTGCTGGAGGTAGAACACATGAAATACCTGAACTGGACAGGAGCAGAGCAGTTACAGACCGGAGCAAAACTGCGTCCAATGTATTCCAATGGTATTCTTAGCTCCAGTTAACATTGCAGCGTTCCGTTCCAGAGCAGGTAAAAAAAAACTGCAGCAGGCCCTACTTTACCTGCTCTTGAACGCTCTGGAACGCATGCAAACGCATCAAATGCCCTGGAACGCACTGAAAGCCCATTTTAAACCCACAAACGGCCCGGAACACATCAAAAACGCGACAAAAACGCGTCACAACCCACTGCACTGCGCGTGCAGAAACTCATGCAGATCTGGTCTGCATTTGGTGTGAACAAGGCCTCAATGTCACCAATGGCTGCATGTAAAGGTGACCATACACCTTACGACCATCGCAAGACTTTT